TATTCTACGAATTACCTTGTCAACTAAATATAGTAAAATCTAGCGGTTGGTTCGTGATTAGTCGAGATGTGCGTAAACTAGCTCGGCACAGATATAAAAAAAAGTGCGCGCTTATATAATGACGTTTTTTATTTGATAATTTATAATCTAGTTAAAGAAAAACATTTTTTTACTATTTTATTCTTTTAAAATAATTTTCTAAATTTATTTATAATTATAAAATTTTTACTAAAACTTAGAGTAGTGAAAATTTTAGATAGAGTAATGCTACTAAACGATATGTTAAAATCAAAATAAAAATCAAAAGCAAAAATATTAATAATCCAAAATGTGTATTGATGTGTCAATTAATTTTGCATTTATTTTATTTTTATTATTAATAATTTTTTGAGATAGACCTTTGACTATGTGGTTCAATAAAACATCATCATAAGCATTAATTAAATTGTTTCATATATAATAGATTTAATCATTTATCTCAACTTTAATCATGAAAAATATCTTAATTTTTTTTCTTTGACTTTTGTAAACATAATGCTCATGATTACATTAAATTAAAATATACAAACAAAAAATGAAGCATTTTTAACATTAATTTTTACAACTATGATACTTAACATTATCTCATACATTTTTTTAATCACAATTTCTCATGCTTTATAAAATTTCACATTTTCTACTCATCACGATTAGAGATGTTAGTGCAGCAGATGAATTATAAAAAGGGCAAAAAAAATCTCATATATATGCTTTAACCCACGACATCAATCTTTTCTTTTTAGTAAAATTTGAATTTGATAAAATGCAAGGATTTGTGATTTTAAAAACAAAATGTTAGGGTATTATTTCCCATAGAAATAAATATGTATTTTCATGATACATAATATAAAGTTTAAAATTTTACGAAAAATAGTATAATTTAAATAAATTCAAATAACGAGTTGGAGGTGATTTTTAACTCATGCGTGGTTGATTGGAGAACAAATGCTACATATGTCTTATGTTTGATGAGGTTTGAATTTCCTTACCTTGGTGCTATCTTCTATGTCTGAGCCGACGTCCTACATGGTCTAGCCGACTAAGTTTCTTTGGATCTTGTTTCCATTCTTTGGTCTAACCGACTTGTTTATTTTCAGCTCAACCCCAGTTTCTGACAGGCTCCACAACAATACGCCATGATTCATGGCTACTTTAAAGAGCCGTTGAGGCCTTGTCGAGGACATTGTCGGAAATCTCGCCTATAAATAGAACCCACGGAAATCTCGCTTATAAATAGAACCCATTATCTCATTTTCAGGTACGCGAATACAATTCTCTCTAGATACTGCTCGAATTCTTCCTGACTTGAGCATCAGTGTGTTTTCTGTCTTGTAGGTCTCCTGTTTGGTTATCTCCAACTCGTTCCTCTCAATCCGAATCGAGGTTCGTGGGCTTGGTCATTTTTGTGATTAAACATAACCAATATGAACTTAGTTCAATGTAAACAACATATACTAATTCCCTTAAAATCAAATTCTAAAAACGTAATGTAAAACACACACTAAAATTACCCTATATGGGTAATATATATCAAAATTATGCTACATTTGTACTATATTTTTAAGATAACATAAAAACCAGAAATTACCCTTCAAGCTTAACTTCTAAGTTACCTAATATTAAAGATTACAATCATAAAATAAACACTCAAGGGTTGTGTACTATTTGGTGAGCATTATTATTTGAAATTAATAATTATGGATAGAAGGCTCTTGTTGGTTGATCATTATTCTTTATTTGTCAAAAAAGGAAAAGAAAAAAAAAGATCATTCTTGTAAGTTTGCCATTATCACATCAATCATGATCATTTAATGCATGATGTGAATTACTCTGACTTTTTCATATATTTTATTTTATTAATTTTATATTTATATGTAATTTAAAATATCATGTTTAATATATTAAGTAGATTTAAATAGTGAAAACATATTCATTCTTGAACTGAAAAATATGTCACCATATGCATATCGTACTACGAAAAACATTTGAATACGAAACACCAACATTCTACCACAACAATAAAAAAATTCAACTTTTTCTAACAAAAATTTCAAATGAATTACTATTTTTATGTAGATGATGAATGAAATTTGGAAAGAATATATTAGAATATCCAGTAACATTCTTTCTCTTTCACTTTATGATTTTGTTGTAAAGTTAAAAAAAAAAAGTTGATTTCATTAAAAAAATATATATACATATTTCAAAGCTCAAACATTAATATATCATGATTTATTAGTTTTATTATGGGCAAGATCCTTTCAGTTATATTTTTAAAGAGATTTCTTTAATCAAGGTCTAATTTATTAAATATTTCTTTAGTTTTTTATTTTTTATTTTTAAATAAACTTATATGGTTCTTATGAAACATATTTCCTTAATTTTTCATTTTGAAAATCAAATTTTTTGAAGAACAATTACCTATGAGATAACAATTTTACTTTATAGATTTCACTTAAATTTTAATCATCTATACGTTATCTATCATTTTATCTATTTCACTATTTTTAAAATTCATATCAAATATTTAATATTTAAACTCAAAAAAATATATTCATTCACATTTTCTTTATGTTCCAAAAATTTTAATACTATAAGTAACTATAAGGGCAACCACAAATCTAGCATAATTCAGATAAAATATTATAAAAATACCAACTAAACATAATAAATGAAAATGTAGTAAAAATTATAATATGCAAAGTTTGCACAATAGTGGAACACTTAAAACTTTACGATTTATTTTTATGGTTATTTTTATAATATTTTATTTAAATTAGGTGAAATTTTCTATTATGTATATATTTCTTATGTCATTGATTGAGATGATCACTCATTAGATTAAGCCAACGCGAACATAGCTCAGCGATAATTGACATATATCTCCAACCATGAGTTTATGAGTTTGATTCTCATCCCACGTGTTGTACTTAGAGAGAGAAAAAAAAACTCTTTAGATTCAAGCACTGGAAATTGCAAAACATAATTTAACGTTATATCATCAATTATGCTTTAATTTTTTATGATGGTAATGATTTGATTTAAAAAAAACTTTAATATAAATTATATTTAGGACGAGTTCGAAGATGACACAAATATTAAGAGTATGAAATTATATATTTGAACTTATAAAAGACATTTGATATTGTAAATTAAATTTAACATTACATACCTTTTGTTCTTTTTTGTTTAATATCTGGCCAAAGAATGCTTGTGATAGATGAATACGATTGAAAGTCATGGTTGTTTATATATTAAAACAATGTTAAATTTAGTTCATGAGTAGTATTTTCTTTTATTTTAAAAGTTTTTAATTTTTTTTTTTGAAGTATAACAAATGTGCTGAGACGGAGAATTGAAGCTCTAACTTCAAATAAGTCAATTGATGTTTTATTTTATCACTATATGTCCAAAATGACTAAAATAATAGTTTCAAATACATCATTAAACTTTTAATTTTAGTTCATAGTCGTTATGATAATACTGTTACATAAATGTTTGACTTGATATGTTGATTAAGTTAACAAGTAATGTTTTCATACAATCTAATGAATCATCAGTACATAATACATTTATTATGTTATATTTTTTGAGGTCGAACGTTGAATCCTCCTACCTACACTAAGAAAAAAATATATGATATAATTAATTAAAGAAAATAAGTAATTAGTCTATTTAATAAATATAGTAGAGTAAACAATATAACTTAAAATTTATACATAGATTTTATCCTTGCAGCGTATTCACTTGAGTTGGTTAAGTTATATGTTATCCGACTTGCTCAATCTATAAATTGCAGAAATCTTATGGTGGAATTTGATTCCCTATCTGCAATTAGGCTCATTTGTGGTGGGATCTCAACCTTTAGAGACGAATCAAACTTCTTTTTGACAAATCACCCTAAATTTCTCCTCCATCTCCTTCCTTCATCTCTCTTGGTAATGCAATAGACCAGCAATGGTCTTGCTCACTTTGCCTTCTTCGATCAACCACGTTACTATGGTATTATAATTTTCCATCTTAGCTACTAAATATTGTAAAGGGTGACAATCCTCACTTTGTAATCAACCTGACACCATCGTCTTTTAATTAATCTACATTTTATTTGATTAAAAAAAAGAAAAATTCATACATTGATATCTAATGATTGTATAACATTAATTCAATCCTACTCTATCACTAAAAAATTTCTCCTACAAATGGCTATTATAAATCAAAAGTTTGAATCCTAGCCCTATATCATAAAAAGATTTTTTTTAGTTCAACAATTACATACATTAATTTTTAGAATAATAAAAGGCGATAAAGGAAAAAAAAAWTTAGCCAACTTAGTCACAACTCAATCGAGTAAGTATGTATTCCGACTCAATCGACTAAATATATATTCTGGCTAAATGGCCACAGGTTCAAATTTCCATCTCCCCTGTTCCTGGTCAGAAATATAGTGAAATCACCTTTCCTATTCTTTCCCCAGACACTGCGACTAAGAAAGATTTTCACTTCTTAAAATATCCCATATAYGTAGGCGGGAATATGGGAAGGGGTCAGATTTATCCCGATGGAAGTAAAAGTAATAATAATGTTTATAGTGCCACAGTAGTAAACAAAATAATACGAAAAGAAAAAGGAGGATATGACATAACTATAGTGGAGGTATCAGATGGACATCAAGTGGTTGAGTATTTGTTATAAAAGAAAAAAGAAAATTTAAATCGATAAATTTTCAAAAGGTTTCTTTATAGATAAAGTTTTTTAAATATTGCATGTAATAACCAATAAAACAATACAAAGTACCGCACCCCCAAAAAGAGAAAAAATCATAGGTCATAGAGAGCCATTGGTGACTTTGCTCACAAATTCATACATTAAAAAAAAGAAAATCTGCAAATTCAAGAATTTATACCCAATATAAATATTAGGACCATTTCACCCCATTCTACCACCAATTTTCTACTTAAAATATTTGGTTTCTACCTCTAACCAATCATGGTAATTTGATATATATCTTTAATCAGGAGTTCTAGRGTTMCRTACCGGAAAAACTTTGTACCATTAAATAGTTAGCAATAAAAAACAGAGATTTTTTTAAAATAATAATAATTGTCAAAGTATTCTCTTTTCCCACTGATGAACAAAAACCCCTCTCTGCAACTCCTCTGCAACCCAAAATCCAGTAATGGAGACCGCCGTTCTCGTTCTTCTCCTGCTCTCAGCCGCACTCCGGGCGTCGGCCAATGAAGAGCTGGCGGCGCTGTTGGCCGTTAAGGCGGCGCTGGACCCGGAGAATCAGTATCTGTCCTCGTGGGCCGCCGATGGAGATCCCTGCGGCGGCTCCTTCGAAGGGATTGGGTGTAATGAGAAGGGCGAAGTGGCCAACATGTCGCTTCAGGGGAAGGGCCTCTCTGGGAAGCTCTCCCCTGCCATTTCTGGGCTCAAGCACTTGACGGGCCTTTATTTGCATTATAATTCCTTAACTGGGCAGATCCCTGCGGAGATTGCTAACTTGACTCTGCTCTCTGATTTGTATTTGAATGTCAATAACTTGTCTGGGGAGATTCCGCCTCAGATTGGGGACATGGACAGCTTACAAGGTTTTCTTTCCTTTTTACATGCATGAGTTCTGAAATATGAGTTTTATTCTGTTTTCTGGAATCTGGGTCATGGTGCTTTTGAGATTTTGTGGATTCTGGAAATGGGGGTTTCTCTTCTGGGTTTGTTGAGTGGAAGTGAAAGCTTGTGATTTATCTGTTTTCAGTGGATTTTGCACTCTGTTTTGAGCTGTGTTTTGTTTTCTTCCGCATTTTCAGTTTTGCAGCTTTGTTATAATCAGCTCAGTGGAAGCATACCAACACAGCTTGCATCTTTGAAGAAACTTACTGTTCTTGCTCTTCAGTCCAATCAGTTAACTGGTGCAATCCCTGCAAGCTTGGGAGGTTTGGCTATGTTGGTGAGATTAGACTTGAGTTCCAACCATCTCTTTGGTTCTGTTCCTTCGAAACTTGCTGATGCGCCGCTGCTCGAAGCTCTTGATATCCGAAACAATTCACTTTCTGGCAATGTACCTCCCAGTACTGACCGATCTTTGAACACATTTTGTGAAGATTTACTTCTTTGTTTTGCTATGAGGCTAACTAGAACTCTATTTTGTGTTGTTTCTGCTGTTTTGATGAAGCTCTGAAGAGATTGAATGAAGGGTTCTTGTATGAGAACAACTTGGGATTGTGTGGAGTTGGGTTTCCGTCTTTGAAAGATTGCGCTGGTTCGGGTCACGCAACTCAAAACCGACCTGAACCGTACGGTCCTGGATCGTCCGGTGTGATGCCAACACGAGACATTCCCGAAACTGCAAATGTTCAGTTGCCTTGCAACCATACCCGCTGCCCGAGTTTGTCCAAATCTCATAAAGCTTCGATTGTTGGTGTAGTTGTTGTGACTATTGCACTATCTGCCATTGGAGTCTTGACATTCACACAGTACCGTCGTCGAAAACAGAAGCTTGGGTCATCATTCGAGGTGTGCGATCACCGTCTCAGCACAGATCAAACCAAAGCAACTTACAGGAGGAACGGATCTCCTCTCGTCAGCCTCGAGTATCCCAACGGCTGGGATCCGTTAGCCGATGGTCGAGGATTGAGCATTTTTGCGCAAGAAGTCTTCCAAAGCTTCAGATTCAATTTGGAAGAGGTGGAGACAGCCACCCAATACTTTTCAGAGGTGAATCTGTTGGGGAAGAGCAACTTCTCTGCTACATATAGAGGGATTTTGAGGGATGGCTCAGTTGTAGCTGTTAAGAGCATTTGCAAAACTAGCTGCAAATCTGAGGAAGCTGAATTTTTGAAAGGACTGAACCTCTTAACTTCATTAAGGCATGAAAACTTGGTGAGATTGAGAGGTTTCTGCTGCTCAAGAGGCAGAGGAGAATGCTTTCTCATCTATGATTTTGTTCCAAATGGGAACTTGTTGAGATACCTTGATGTCAAGGATGGTGATCGCCAGGTTCTTGAATGGTCTACCAGAGTCTCCATCATAAGGGGYATCGCCAAAGGTCAGCTCCCGACCTGTCGAAACTCGGTTTTTAACTTCCGTTTGAAACTAATCTTGTTTATGTTAGCATCTAAGTGCTTGTATGATTAAGTTTTTGTTTTTGTTAAAAAAGATGCTTGTTTGCTAGCCRTTTTCTTTTTCTCTGTAATTTTCTTCCTGAATAGTTTTCAAAAACCCGTTTATTGTTTTTGAAATTTGGCTAAGATTTCAGAGCGGATAACCGAACAATATAAACATAGATAAAAGTATATTTGATAAGCGAAACGGGGCATAAGTTGTCAAACATCTGATTGTTTTGGCATGGATTTGAGACTAAGTTGAATGCTTTGTTTATTCATAACCAGGTGTGGCTTATCTTCACAAGCATGAAGCAAACAAACCTGCTATTGTACACCAAAACATCTCAGCCGAAAAGGTTCTCATCGACCAGCGATTCAATCCGCTGCTCTCGGATTCTGGCTTACAAAAGCTTCTTACGAACGACATTGTCTTCTCCGAGCTCAAAGCCAGTGCAGCTCGAGGCTACCTAGCYCCTGAGTACACCACAACAGGTCGGTTCACAGATAAAAGTGACGTTTATGCATTTGGCGTGCTGGTGTTCCAAATCCTTTCCGGGTACCGAAAGATCACCAGCGCATTGCGTGGCGCTGCTGAGTCATGCCGGGTCCAAGAGCTCGTCGACCCGAAGCTCCAAGATCGATACTTCGAATACGAAGCGGCCAAGCTCTGCAGAATCGCGCTGCTTTGCACGCACGAGTCGCAGAGCGAGAGGCCGTCGATGGAAGCCATTGTTCAGGAGCTTGTGACTTGCAGCAGCTGCCTATAGGGGAAGGTTGTGCTATTTTTGGAAGCTGTGAATGGCTGGCTAACTGCTCACTGATGTTTCTAACTTTTTTTTTTTTTGGTTCATTTAGTGAATAGTTTGTGTATGGACTACTTCATATGTCCTTTTCCTAAGGACTGAACTTTGGCTGTCATAGTTGTCTGTGTTTTATTGCAAACATTTTTTGACTGTGACAGTGGAACTGTCACCCCTAATTTTCAGATTTCTGTAAAAGTGGGCTTATGCTTTGTGGAAGAAGGGGTTTTTTTTAAGGCATCTTACCATTTCACTCTCTCTTTTAAAATTTGTTTATTGTACTTTCTTTTGGACTTTTATTTCCTTTTAGCTTTTGTTATACTATCATCACATTTTATTATAGTGGCAAAGCCTAAAGTCAAGTACATAGGATGAAAGAGATTTTTTAATTTTTTTTTTGGGATATTTGTGAGTGTTCGGATCTAGAAAGTTAATTCTTAGGTAGGTGATCATCATACGATTTGAACCCATTTCTTCTAAATCGTTTTTTTTACTTTGGTCATTTTGAACCAATGAACCATCCATGATAGTTATGAGATGAAGGAGTTGGTTGTCCAAAATTTAGAGAATGATATATTACCAATTATAAAGCTATTTACAAACATTTTAGCTAAAGGTGTTTATTCAGAAATTATTTTGATGTTTTCACATTCTTAAAAAAGTTTTCGAGTGCTCCCATTAGGAGCACCTGGGTAAAAAGTATACTACAAGGACTTTCTTAATAATCACTTGATTGGTTATTTATTTTAATGAAAGTACTTGTAAATCAATTCCAAGCATGATTATTTTGAGCCTAGAATACTTTTAGGAGCCGTTTGTTTCGTGGGCATCCAAGATTCCTGTGAGACGGACATTTGGATTCTCACGTTTGTTTTGTGGTAATGTAAGATATTCGGATATCTCGAGATGTCCTGGTATCCCAGGATGCCTATTTGGAAGGCATCCGAGTCCATTTGGATGTCCTTTTGAATCATGGGTTTCCATGATTCCCATGTCGAGGACATCCTATGTTGATATGTTTACCCTTCGTTATTTTTTCATATATTTTATTTTATCAAATTTCTTTGGTTTTATTTGTAATTTTATAGTTCAAATAAATTAATATACTCATTAAGCAATTAAGTATATTTATGTATTACATGCACATATAAAATAAACTTCAATTAAATTATATAATATCTCTATTTACTTTTAATATTTGAAATAAATTATTATGAATAATATCTATTATCTTAAATACATAATTTTAAAACAATATTTTTTTAACGATGAACTTACCTTTGGTATTTCTTCTTAAAAGAATATAATTTGATAATACAATAAATGAATTTTACCCCATGTAACATTAATTATATAATTGTATTTTTTAAAAAATATTAAAGTTTAAAATAAATTTATACTCAATATTAATTACTTTTAAAAAATTCTTATATTAATATGAATTCKACCTAATAACATACACAAATTAATACATATACGCAATTGATATAAAAAAACCTAAAATATTAAATTAATTTTAAGAAAATCTATTATATAATTGTAAATTATAGTAGATTAATGTATAAATTATATGAATATTCGTAAGGGTGTTTTTGGAACATTATATAAATTTTGAACATTCTCATGAATAAAATTCCAGACATATGAAATTTCAGGTATCTACATTCGCAAAAAAACAAACGGCCCCTGAGTCATTATAAAAGTGTTTTTGACCATGTTAAAAGCACCTCCTAAATATTATCTTAACTGTACCGTATCAACTCTCGAATTTCAAATTATTCACTTGCTTTAATTACTCATGCTACGGATGTGGGAGCATCAACTCCGTTCCTGTGGGTTTTCGAGGAGCGGGAGAAATTATTGGAATTCTATGAAAGAGTCTCGGGAGCCAGGATGCATGCTAGTTTCATACGACCAGGTGGAGTGGCACAAGATCTGCCTCTTGGCTTCGCGCTCACTTCTCTTATTTTGACTAAACATATTGCCACTACTCCCAAGTGGAGTTCATGCTAGTTTCATACGACTAGGTGGAGTGGCACAAGATCTGCCTCTTGGCTTCGTGACTCACTTCTCTTATTTTAACTGAACATACTGCCACTACTCCCAAGTGGAGTTCATCGGCACTCCCACCCTAGGTGAACGCGAAACAAAAATCGAATGGACTTCTTCGCTTTCCTTCATGTCGTAGCTCCCTACTCCTTTAAAGTTCATCTTGATGTGATTTGAAGAGGAAATTGCCACAAGATTGATCTCGATATGGTGGACACGGGGACATAATGCAAATGGTTAGTCTAATTACTAAATTTAGAATGATGCATGAATATGTTAGAACACAACTCCAACCAAAATTTACCATCTAGAGATATTTGTTAATGATAGTGATTTAAGGACTTAGGAGACCGATGTTTGAAGAACGGGGCATGAAAAAGGCCTATACTACGGTTTTAAGGTTACTCTTTTTTAAGCTATGGAATTTAGTAGTTTGGAAGTTTTAAAGAAAGTTAGAAACATCTATGCTCTGGATGAGTCATACGATGTCAAATTGGTAAAAAATAATAAGATTAGAGTTACTTATTCTCAAAGAGCTACTTATTATAGATTTTTGCATATAAAATTTATGGATAGTTCATACACTACAAGAGTTTTAGGAAATTCGTCGCCAAAGGGTTTGGGCGACGAAAAAATATCGTCGCCAAAGTCGTCGCTGTTGCCCCGTTGCGACAGGGTTTCAGTGACAAAATCCTGGTTTCGTCTCTAATGGCGACGACTTTGGCGATGAATGTTAGGTCGTCTCCAAAACGATCTTTGGCTATGAAACCCGAATTTCGTCGCTGAAGCTACCTTTGGCAATGAAATCTTGGTTTCGTCACCAAAGTAGGTTTTGGCGACGAATCCAGGATCGTTGCCAAAGCTAGCTTCAGCGACGATCTAGCCTTCGTCGCTGTAGCCTGCTTTAGCGACGAAACTAGGATTTTGTCGCCAAAGGTCCCTTTTTTTAATTATTTTTGCAATACTCATATTATTTTCCTAAATAACTAATTTAACAACCTAACATGCCATGAACTTTCTCAAATTTCATATAAAGATTTATAGTATTAAATAAACATTGGTTTTACAAAAGTACAAAAAATCAATACAAAGTAAAATTGAACAACTTAAACCTATTCTAAACATATTCTAAGAAGCTCCCATTATCAAGTCCTTCATGAAACTTTATCAAATTTCCAAAAGCTTTCGATAGAGAAATCGAACGAACCTAAAAAAACAAATGACAAATAAACTTACGTGAACAAAATAGTTAACCTATTTCTCAAAACTAATTTAAAAGTCATAAAAATGTCTAAGTCACCCCACATGCCATGAACTCAAACTAAGCATTTAAAGTTAACACATGACATACTCACAACTTCCATTCAAAGTTAACAAACTTCCATTCTAACTCACTCCACATGTCATGAACTCAAACTAAGCATTCAAACTTCCATTTTATATAACTCATTCAAACTTAATTCAAATTTCACAAACTAAAGGAAGAGTATAAGAGCACCTCCTCCCCAAACACTTTTATTCAAAGTCAATAAAAACACATTAAAACAAACTTTAAATTCACAAAACCTACTCTCCCTCAACTAAGTCTTAGAAACACGCACACACGCTCTATCATCAATCCACTTCAAATTCAACAAAGTTATCCAAAAACACTTCCAATAAAACAAAATTACCAAAAGTAACTAAAAACAAATGCTCTATGTGGACGTACCTGTTTTGACGAGCTGGCTCCACCAGAACGAGTCAAAAACTCTAGCATCATTGATCTCAAATTAGACATTTCACTGCGTAGACTTGTAATCTCAGAATCTTTTTATGAGAGATGCTCCTCTAACTCTTTGTCTTTCTGTGAGATACGCTCATCAAACTCTATGTCTTTTTGTGAGAGACGCTTCTCAAATTTTCTCTTAGGGTATGTATTTCCTCAGACAGCTCTTATTCCCGCTGTGAAGAAGCTACACTTGAAGTAGAACTTTTACAAGATTAGTTTTTGGGCCCCAACCAACGCTTTTAACGTACCCTAATCGATGCTCAAGCACTATTTTCAGTACGTCTGGGTTTGACATTGATTCTCCTCCGTCTTGCATATATTCTTCTCTGACACGAATCATGTCTAACTGCATATATAGTAAAAAAACTACAAAATGTTTACACACGCAATTTGAAGTGTAATTTGAAGTTAATTATTATAAGAGTAGTAAACTTATATAAGCTGTCTCCGCGCCTTCGACCCAACCTTTAACATCAGAGTATCTTGTCTCCTTGAACAAATCAATTTCACTAAAATTTTCGCCTCCGTCTTGCTCTTTCTGCACTTGATAACAAATAATTGTTGATAATCATAAGTAATATAAGTATATGAAAGAAAAATATTATTGCATTGTACCTTCTCATTGGCAATAATAGCAAATGCCTTCGGCCCTGCACGATGGTTGAATGGGAGCTTCGCTCTGTTGCATTTGTTGGTCTCAGATTTTTGCTAACAAAAGCATAACGTTCATCAGAATATTGAATATAAAAAGAAGTATAAGTTATATTCGTAAAGTACCTTCCACTCACTCGTCTTCCATCTATCGTGTAGCATGTTCCAATCGTTTGGTCTTGCTATCAACTGCTCAGGCGGAATGTTGCGAGCAATCTCAGGTGCGAGATGACTTAGGTAGTATTTGTCTAATTTTGCCTTATATGCTTTATGTATTGATTGCATTGCATGATTGAGGAAACTCATCATAATTGGGTATGACTCGTCGAAATCAAAATGACCCTACAAAAAAATAAAATACCGAACAAGTGAAGTGTTATTATTGTTGCATCATACAAAAGATAAAACATATTAAGTAATTAATATGTTACCTTGAGATGGGTTATAATTGCCATTTTCTCCCTTTCTCTGACCTCACTCTAAACGCTAGCCTTTAGGTCAACTTCTTCTTGTGTATGTACCTCGATTGCGATAGAAAATGTTGCTATGGCAAGGTTGGTTTATTCACTGTGTGATCACATTTGATATGTACTTTTGTGCCAGTTGCACGAACTTGATTTTCTAGTTCTATCAATCGGGTGTATCCTCCACGTCTGTTCTATCTATAAATTGTCAAACATTAAACTAATTAGTTAAACAAAACTTGTTTATTTTACATATATTTAAATTGACGTACCTGGAGGAAAAATTGGAACATGCTGGTATGCTG